TTGAGGTTCTTGTCAGTGTTTGAAACTGTGTTTTTAGACCCAAATGAATAATGTGGTCTTTAATTAGAGGATGTTTGCTCGTGGAATAAGGGAAGCTCTTTACTGCTTGGGAGACAACAGGAATAGATTTTTAGATGTGTCCATGGTTTATCCATCTATTTTCTGCCACAAGCTAAGCAAGGCAGCCCAAATGTCCCTCTCCACAGCCAATTCCTCCAGCTCCTCCTGGGGTATCCTAAAGTGTTCCTCAGCCAGATGGGATATAACCGCTTCATATTCCCCAGAATACCTCCACAGGGATGCATCCTGATTAGATGCCCAAACAACCTCTAATGGTTGCTGCCAGTACAAAGGATCAGCAGTTCTAGTCTGAACTCCTCACCCTGTCCCAATGGAGTCACCTCAGACACCCTGCAAAGAAAGCTAATTTATTGTATTCACAATCCATTCTTTTAGTCTTCCCTTCCCCCATGCCTCATCCTCCAGCTGTTTCTGAGGGATTACATAACATTCCCTGGCCATGTGGGAGAAATACGTCCATGAATGCATTCTGATCAAAGGTGAGGGTTGATCAACTTGTGAACAGCCTCCTTCACCACAACAGTCTTTTATAAGAACCGCATTTCACTGCATCACTGCATTTGAATTCATTCACTTGGGGCAGCAACTTGCACCTAACCTGTAATGCAGAGTTCACACCATGTGATTTTAGCCCGGATCTTCTAGTTGCCAACTATTTTGGGAGATTTGCGACAAATTGGCACATGCTCCTGAGAGGAAGATTATGTTGAGTGAAATGTTCAACGATACAATCTGCAGCCTCAATAAAACTTTTGTTGAACTCTGGCAGGACCACAGATGCCTTTGAGATGTTTCCAGTTCGCAGTACCACAACCGGATTGAGAAAGAAAAGGTTTGGTAAGAAATAACAAACTCTCTTCAACAGCCAGGTGAAAAAAATGCTACATCCACATGGATTCAGTTAAATGGTAATGGATGAGAGCAAGACGGTAAATGCATCTATTCATGCAATTTAAGATTGGATACATCTTCACCAGACAAATATACAACACCTATGTCCATCTGCTGTGTGTCTGAATCCATGTAAATGCTAGTTTGTCATATATAATTGGCTATGCAACTTCTTCTGGCAGAATAGCAAGCTAGCAAACCTAGGACAGACCCTTCGGCTCTAGGTGGGTGGTGGTCTGCCTTGACCAGTTGGGGTGACGGTGAGAGAGAGAGAGAGAGAGAGAGAGAGAGAGAGAGAGAGAGAGAGAGAGAGAGAGAGAGAGAGAGAGAGAGAGAGAACAGAGGTAAGGACAGAGACAAAGGTGCACAGCAACAACTACACTAATAGTAGTGACTGATGATGATGAACATGAAGAATATGATGACGATGACGACAACAACGATGGGGGACAATGAGCAGTAATTATAGTAATAATAGTATCTGTAGTAATAATAATAGTAATAATAATAATACCAATAATATAAGTAATATTAGCAATGGGAGTCAAGCAGGACCATGGCAGGAGGCTCCACCAGGATCCATGAGAACCTGTAAGACGAGAAAGCACAAGAACTCCAGGGAAGAAGTGAAGTTAGTAACATGCATTAATGGGACATGAATGAGTGCAGAAAGAGAGAGGAAGAGAGGAGCTCAGTGCACCATGGGAAATCCCCCGATAGTCTAGGCCTATAGCAGCATAACTAAGGGATGGTTCAGGACTCACCTGATCCAGCCCTAACTATAAGCTTTATCAAAGAGGAATGTCTTAAGCCTACTCTTGAATGTGGTGAGGGTGTCTGCCTCCCGAACCACAACTGGAAGCTGGTTCCACAGGAGAGGAGCTTGGTAACTGAAGGCTCTGGCTCCTGTTCTACTTTTAGAGACTATAGGAACCACAAGTAGCCCAGCATTCAGAGAACGTAGTGTTCTAGAGGGGTAATAGGGTACTAGGAGCTTAACTCTCAGTTCACTTCATTTTCACACAATTTCTCAAATTTTCTCTCTTTTTCTTCTTTTACAGACTATTATTCCCCAGGCTATTAGGTTCTGAGCTTCTGCTCAGTGGCCAGCAGATCAGACTGTGGCTGTAGTACTTCCAGGTGTGAGCTGTGTAAATGTGATCAGGGCATTCCTGCAAAAGGGAGGCTTGATCTCACTGAACCATCCCTTAAAGTAAAAAAAAAAAAAAAAAAAAAATGATGCAGGCAAGGGTCAACACCAAGCAGTCCGAACAGACAAACAAAAATCCTTCAAAATGGCTGGAATTGAAAAGCATGAGACACATGGCAACTTTGGCGAACTGGAGGAATAATGGTTCTGGGCTGCTGATGAGGGAATGGGGTGCATGTGGAGAGAAGAGCTCAGATTAGGGGAGCAACTGAAGGACATCAGAGGCAAGACTAGAAAATATTTTAAATAAAATATGATCCAGTTTCACCAAAATCAGTGAATAAAGTTGCAAAAGTTGTGTGCTTTTTGTACAGTAATCAGATGTTTACAGATGCCATAACACATTAAGACATTATCATTGGCTGAGGGCCACCTCATTAGCTACTTCCATATTCAGCTTACCGTGTGTTGGATGCAATATTACATTTTTGTAAAAATTCCTAACTTCTCAGTACTAGCTAAGATAGCATTAATAACTAAAACTTTTAGCACCACTTTTGTGTCTATGATGAAGTTGTGAATGACTGTGACGTCTAAAGCTTGCCGTCAGACAGCCCTTTCTGACAAGGAATTGAAAGCGTTATATCTATCTATGCTCTCTCCAAAGCCACCAGACTGACTTGGTTGTTTAACAGATTAATTTGGATCATTAAAATCAAACAATAACACACACTAACTGATCGAGGCAGCAGTAGACCTGCAAATAGTCTAACGTCCTGAGTTCCCTGTTTAAACTATCCACCTACTTGCCTGGTATGCATACTTTTTCAGTTGTTTTTGTGAATCTGTGTGCACGAAGATTGTTATTACAATGTGTTTGTTTGAGCACAGAACTTTTTTTAAATGTAAAAAAAGAGAAAAACTTTTGTTTTTAACTTAACTGTTGTTGTGTAAACAGGAACTAAATGGAACCGAACCTTCTGTATTAATGGCAACATGTATATTTACCCTACTATTTCATGTCCAAACGGCTGCTGTGAAAAAGATCATAACGCTGAAAGGCCCTAGGAAACTGGAAATGTGGAACATGTTGCTGCTGCGTCTGGACAATCAGGCTTGCATTTTGGCATTGTGGCCTTTTTCTACAACACAAGTCTGTTCAAAATATAGGTCAGTGTTACTCCACTATAATAAATCATATTGTGGCTGTCTGCAGCACACACTTTGGGAAATTAAAAAAACTTCTTGGTCCTCTTTGGGTAATTTTAGAGTACTGTTTTGTATTTCATGCTTTTCTTTACCCTTGTGAATGTGTACGTTTGGTCATTTTTATTTTACATAATACTTTTCTTTACCATGTTTTGTTACCTTTTCTTACCATTAAAATATGTAGAAATGCTCCAATAATATCTATAATGTTTAAGTAAGATTTTCAAAATGAATACAGCCTTTACTAGTGATGACACTTTCATATTAATTGCATATTACTGAACAATATGTTGTCATAATAGTTTACCTTCTTACCTTGCTGAAACACCATATGAATGTTTGCTCACAACTTAGCACTCCCATTTGGAGGTAAGTACCTGGTAATGATGTCAAAGTACCAAACCAGCATGTCTATTCTAACTGACTGATCAACGTTGTTCGAACTCAAAGCTGAAAACAATGTATTGAAAAAGTCAAAAGACCTTCTAAGCAAAGCAAAGACATTTATTCCATCAAAGTGGTGGAGGTCCTCCACTGAAAACGTCAATATACAGTGATTTATAAACAGATTTTGACTTTACGCGTGCTCCTGACTAGGTGTATGATTTATGTCCAGTCATAGCAAGAAGAAAGCCAGTATGTAGGATTTAGTGGCATCCTGTGGTAAAGTTGCAGATTCCAAGTAACTGAACATCGCTGTATTTGATGACCTGGGAATGAGAATGGGCTGTGTAGGAGAAACTACAGTGGCTGCAAAACTTGCAAAAAATGTGAAAGGTCCTATCTACAGCTAGTAATTGGTTTGTCCTTTCTGGGCTACTGTAAAGACATGGTGGTTCAACATGGCTTCAATAGAAGCAACTCACAACTTAATTTACATGTAGATAAAAACGGCCTATTCTAAGGTTATACATAAACATACCTATGAATATCATATTTCATTTCTGCAGGTAGGTCCTTTAACCTTTAAATCGAGATGGTGCAACTGTGTAACTATTAGGTAGGAATTATAACGCCAAGTTATGACTGATTTATCTTAATGCCAGGCGTAATCCCTGTTGGTGCAATCGGCCCTTGCTCTATAAAGCAGCAGTTCCCAACACCATGGCTGCAGACCATTACTAGGCCATGGTAAAGAATAACAGTAAGTTGTCAGCATCAGAGGTAGCCAGTCTGGTTTCAATCATTTTTAGCATTCAAATATATGTAAGAACACAACCTGACAGCTGCTAGGAGTAAGTTACCACAATGAAACACAAACTCCTGCCTCTGGCCCCATGTGAGACTAACCACTTGTGTTAAAAATAAACTCATGACCTGTCAAGAGCTGGAAAGGAAAGAGTGATTATGGCTGAAAACGATCAGTATATGTCTACAGTGACTTTATCACTGAACCCCAAAAAGAGTTTCCTTTGTGTTTTTTTCCTCTACATTCCAGCATGGGAGACTTGTTTCCACTCAGGAATGTTTATAAGCATGGCCATGAGGAGAGCTCAGCCTTGTTTCCACACAGTCAGGTATTGTATTACTTTTGCTGAATAGCTCCTAAATGTTTCCTACAAAACGTCCCATCAGTCATCGCCTATGACCTACATTTCAAGACGAGTAAACATGGACAAAATTATGAATAACCACACCATCGAGACATTACAGATGCTACAAAACAAAGTTCCAAGTTTCTGAAAACTTTATTTGGAGAAAAAAGTTGCTTCCAAAGGCTGATGTAGAGTATTGCTTTGTTGGCAACTTACATGTAAACATTTGGTTTTGTCGATGTGATAAAAGCATGAGTCTATTCACACTAAAAGCACAAATAGCTATGAACCACAGCACCAGCAGTGGTGAGACTACGTAAAAAATATGCTCACATTTTGTGCTCTTCGTTCCAACAGAGTACATCATTTAATCAACACACGTGGTTCACATTTGGTTATGGAAAGACATCTTACAGCATCAAGATCATGCCAACCATAAACCAGAGATACATGACAATTTTAAACATCTGCTTGGACACTGACACTCAGCTCTGAAATTAATGGCATATATTATATTCTGCTGAATGTTTTGTTGTGTTTATTGTAGAGGCTCATAAGGTCTGTTTGAAACTTACCTATTAACTAAAGCTGGTTAAAGGACCAGTGTGTAGGATTAAGTGGCAATTGATGGTTAAGGAGATTGCAACCAACTGAATACCACTTGCCTTTGAAACTACACTTTGTTAGGGTTAAAAACACAGCCCACAACAAGGCCCTATCTAGAGCCAGGGTTTGGTTTGTCCGTTCTGGGCTACTGTAGAAACATGGCAGTTCAACATAGAGGACTGTAGAGTCCTCCCATTTTAAGGTAACGAAAACATGATTCCTATGAAAACCTACCTATGAATACTATATAGCATTTCTGACAATGGATCCTCCTAAATGTACACACAAGACCTTAAAAGGAAAGCTTTAATAAAAGGGAAATTATTTTTCATCTCTGTGTACACTACTGAGATTGATCCAGGATTTTTTTAGCTTTAGCACAAAAACCTTTTGTTGGTTTCAGTAGCCAGCAGTCTTTTTATCTATGCAATGACTGTTGAAAATGAATATTTGTATAGTAAAATAAAATAAATGCCTTTATGTATTGTGACTGTCACTTCTAGTGACCCCTTGCCACAGAGATCCACAGAGAATTATTACAAACTCTGCAGTTTACCTCAGTGCTATGGAGCTTTTTAGCCTCTTTGGTTTTTTGGCCCACAACTTATTTTGGATCATCAACCTCATTTCTGCTGCTATTCTTAATGAAAAAGCTCTCAAAAACCCATGGTACACCACCTGCCGACAGACAGAGACAGAGGGGTTACAAACTGGTGAACATGGTGGAGCATTTAGCAGCTAAAGAGACAGATATTTTGTCTCAGAAGATGGTGGGGACCAAGCCAGAGTCAATATCAGTTACCGCTGCTTTAAGCACATATGAGGGTTAGCTAGCTAACAAAATTCTATTATAAAAAGATACAAATATTTGGATGAGTCGGTAATGAAATGGTCAGTTACCAGTAATTCTAGAGCACAGCAATGGTGCAGTATGCAGCGCTTGTGTTAGAAAAAACAAAAAACAATCAAGCAAGCTTCTCACTATTTCTGGCAAAAGGGAAGGACCTCCAATGTGGTCACTAGAGAACCCTGCTAAGGAACTGTATCATGCTCCATTTGCACCCATAGAGCATGATGTGGTTTGGACTGATGCCTATGCTGTGCCTCAGAGGTAGAGCGGGTCGTCCAATAATCGGAAAGTATTCTTGAGCAAGATACTGAACCCCAAATTGCTCCCTATGCATCGGTGGATGAATGTGTATGAATGAGTTAATTCCTTGTTTGATGGAACTAACCATCTTTGCCATCACTGTGTGAATGGTTGAAATGTTAAAGCGCTTTGAGTGGTCGGAAGACTAGAAAGGCACTATACAAGTACAGTCTGTTCATAATGTCTCTAGCTCAAGTACGCCTACAATATTATCTGAATTATGTTGTTCACTATATTTGGAAGTCAGTGGATCAATCAGTGGTCAAAAGCTAATACAGCATTACAAAGAAGATATCACAAACATAGCACGAAATGTGCTCAGGTCAGGGTCTGTGTCTCATTACATACATCAAAAAGACAACCTATCACAGATCCTCCTCAAGTTTTACATGAAAAATCTATAAGTTCCAATCTGGGAAGTTGCCCTCAAAACGCTTCAGCATTTTTCAAACAAAGTAGTCTGTGCAACAAGCACAGGTTATTTGTCCTATTGGTTGCCAGTTCTCACAAAAGTGGGTCTTGTCTAATAAAGAGCCGGGTAGAGGGCAGACAGTAAGGAGAAAGAAGATCACAAAAACTGCTGCTTGTTGAGACTGTGATGGACAATGGATGAGTTCAGTACACTATTGGCGATGCCCTGGGCCTGGCTCCAGTAAGCCAACTGCTGGGGACTAGTCAAGCTCACCGGGGTTCAGGTAGGCTCTGGTTCAAACTTGTTTTTGTTTCCTTGAATTTTGCTGTGCCATTTTGTAGTGTGATCAAGCACTTAATGCTGTGCATGTGAAGTGAAATACATACTTTGAAGGAGGCAATCTCTGAAATGGCTGTTCATTCTCTGTTTTATATTTCTAGGGTCAGATTATTTCTGTAGGGTTTTAGGATTAAGACCTGGAACAAGTAACCCAATTAGAACCAATGTCTTTCCGAGGTGATACAACCTTAGGGCTCTCCCCACTTAGTTTTACCAAAGATGAGGGTTTGAATATAGATCAACCAGAAATTCTGTCCAGGCCATGGAACAGTGGACTAGAGGAGTTAATGGACTTGTAGAGTGCTGGTGATCATGTCCCCCAGACACCTCAGACACTTTTTGGGAACTTTTTTGGAAAAAAAAAACCATGCTTAAGAGCATTATCAGAATACAATCATTTTGTTTTGTTTTTAAAAATTCAATAGCAATCGTATTAGTTCAACTGTACATTCATTAGGTTGCTTTTATCTTTTGTGATGTGCACCATATGATGTTGCCATTATTGCCTGATATTAAGATCATATTTTTGAGGTACTTGTGCAGTAAATTCTGCAGGTTGAAAAATGTAGAATCAAGTCAAATAATCAAGTATTTAACATACATTAAAGAGGTTAGGGTTTCTGTAGGGTGTACATGTGTGCATCTGTTCCTGGTCATTGACCTGGTCTGAGAAGGTGGGAGGTACAGCTGTATATCTTTGAAAAACTGCAATGTACCCGGTTGTCCATGGGCTCCTTTTACTTTGGTACAGTTAACAGCCAGTTTGCCAAAACTTCCACTGCACTGATGAAGAGCTTCCAACAACTGACGTCTTTGTTCACAAAAAAGGGACTTTAGATGTCGGTCCAACTCTGCAAGCTGTGCTTCAAATGTCTACTGCATAATAACGTCTGGTTCAATGTTAAAGAGTAGGTCATCATTGTCCCTCCTGACCTCCAGTAGCAAGGCTGTCTCCTCCTGCAGTGCCCCCTGCAGGTCAGCTGTGGTCATCAGAGGTTTTCCATTCAGTTTCACAATGATGTCACCATCTTTGATACCACCTCTGGAGACAAAGAGAGGGATGAAGACAGGCTGTTATGGGTAACCAATTCATTTTTACTTCAGAAATGAGAAGCAAATCATATACTGCTTTTGTTTGAGGAATTAATAAATAAATAAAACCTACTTATGGGCAGGTGAGTGAGGAACAACCTCGTGGACATAAATCCCACTGGTAACATCGGGGAAGTCTGGGTTCTGCTGTTTTAGCTCTTCAATTAACCTGGAACAAACAAATACACACTTTTTTAGAAGAAAGTCCATTATCTAAACAAATTCCCCAGTATTTATGAGATTTAATTATTTTAAGTCAGGAAGCAAGGGGTGTAGGCATACTAATACATACTGTATCATTTCTATTTAACCTTAATTTAAACAAGAAAGAAAAAAAGACAAAGGATTATAAAATACGCCAAATCATAATTAGCCAGAAGAGAAATCAACCAGTTTCTAAAACACAGATTTCAGGTTTCAGGCAGAGGAAGCAGAATGCATTACGCTTCAATTAGGCTAAGACAGGCCTCATTTTTGGAATATAAAAATTATTTCCGTTCAGCTTTTTTACAAGCTGCTGAATATGGAGCTTAGATGAAAGATTTATCTATTATGCTAAGTATGTTACAATGCTGAGAGGAAGGGATGTTAAAAGAGGATTCAAAATAGATCCTTGAGGGACATTTTTAGACACTGTTAAAAGAAAGCTGAAATATTATTTATTGAAAATGTAACAACAAGCAAGGAAAAATTATCTGCATGAAAGTATGTTATAATGGAGGAAGAGGAAGGGATGTTAAAAGAAGACTCAATATAAATCCTTGAGCTACACCTTGGCTACTTTCAAGAGCTTTTGATTTGAATGTTGCAGCTGTTATTGTGCTGTAACCTACTCAGGGCCAGTGGTTGTAGTGTGTTACATGCTTTGAAAAAAGCCAGAAGTTGAGTATTTAATATTGAAAATGAATTTGTATTCAATTTGCCACATGTCTCAACAACACAATAATTACAGACTTACGCTGGTGTAATAGTCAGCATCCTGATTCCAATGAAACGCTTCTTTATTGACCTCACATCTGAAAGAGGCTCCAGTTAGTTTCTGTATGCTCAGCAGGATACTCGCAGATGTTTAATGGTAGTGATGTCACTCACCTTTGCTGTGCTTATCGAGCGAATCATTGAGGAAGCGAGTGATCCTGTCGGAGGGAATGGCAAATGAGATCCCTGCTGCAACCTTCAGGGTGTTGATGCCGATCACCTCCCCATCCTCAAATACAGACACAGCAGGGCTCATTTTGAGATTGTTGGGATGAGGAGTACAGGAGTACAACAGTAGAAAAAGTTTCTACAGTTGCTGTCATCAAGAATAAGAGTTCAAGGGCACTATGTTCAAAGTTTATCAGACCCAAGCAGAGAAAGGTATTTCACAGCAATGAAAAAGCTTACCAAATTGACAAGAGGTCCTCCTGAATTTCCATACTGTGAAGGAAAACAGAAAGAAATGTATAAAAAATGTACAAAATGCACCGACCCCTTGTAATGACATTTTTACAACCAAATTGCAAATTGAAATAGAGCCATATTCCAGGCTGACTCTGCCTGGAAAATATACATCTACTGACTCAGAACACATGTTGTCTGCATTGCTATCTCACGTTGATAATAGCGTCTGTCTGGATGTAGTCCATGTCAGAGTCCCTTAGGCCCAGCTCTTTGCCGTCTCTCTGAGCAGTGCTGACGATGCCGGTGGTGACAGTGTTCTGGAGGGCGAAGGGGCTGCCGATCGCAACCACAAACTCCCCAGGCCTCAGGTCTGCACTGTGGCCCAGAAACAATATAGACAGCTTCGTCTGGGAGGAGGCAGGGAAAACAGACACAGGGGTAAGATAATATAGGATATAGGATATTTGGGCCATTTACAATCAAGGAAGCACAATCCAATTCTAATTTACCAAACAAGCTTTGCACACCAGTGTGTAGGATTTATTGTCATCTCGCAAAGAAGTGAAACTTGCAACATGCCCTACCTAGAGCCAGCTGCCTACTCTATCGAAAGTGTCCTGAAATAACTTCTGTTATCAATTGGCGCTATACAAATAAAATTTAATTTAACTGAATTGAATATGCTTTTGATATTTCTGTTGGACTGTTTCCAGAGGAGCACATTATATTGGTGAACAGTAAATTGTGAATGCTAACCTAAGCATACAAAAGTATAAAAATATGACCCTGCTAGTAAAAAGTTTAGAGTCCTAATCCAACATTTTTCACAGCTGTGATTTTCTACTCATGAATCTGTCACACACACAAAATGACCCTGTACCAGAAGCTTTTACTTTTACACTTTGCACGCTGGGGTTCAGGAAAACAAGGCTCTATGTGAGTTAAAAATAAAACTGAACTCTGCAAGAAACTGCAATGATGATGAGTCAGTTTGTGACACTTGAAAGCTTAAACGGCTATTTAACAGTTCTATGAATCCAGTGTGCAAGTATAGTAAAGAGAGGGTCAAAACATCACACAACCAACAATTCCAACATGTCTGGAACATTGTGAAGACAAATGTGAAATTAAGTATTGAAAACCACAAATTACAGCCTGATGATGAAAACAGCTGTAAAACATACAAAGTAAAGACAATAAATATACAATATTTGACTAGTGTAAGTGACCTAAAATATATACTACAGCTATGTACAAAATATACAAAAAAGTAAGAGACGTGAGAAAGTGTCCAGAAAGAAAAAAGGGAGGGGATGTGATGAAAAGAAGGGTTGAGGAAGTGAAAGGAAAGGGAGGAGAAGAATGGAGCTGAGTAGAAACACATGCTCAGCAGACAGAGGGTCTGACTGAGGGAGAGAAGGAATAAGCTGCTTTGTTTGAAGATTTATTTTAGGTGGAGTGTTTCGGATTGTGTTTCTCTCTCTCTCTCACTCCGCCCTGTCTTGGCCCTCGTCCAGTTCTCCTAGTTCTAATGCAGAGATGTCAACCTTCGGTCGTGATGGGTCCTGAGGTTCAAACCACATTTCATTTTTATTGAAAATCCCAAAGTTTCCAAAGATAACAAATCAGGCCCTGCAGCTCAATTTGGGGTAAATATGTGTAAAATGATAGACAAGGCATCTAGAATATTTCCATTTGATGGAATGTAGCATCCATAAAAATATGTCTGGGTCTAAACATTTCGGTAGTTTCAGTGAACTGTTGGAGTAATGGAGAAGTTACAAGAAAATATAAAATAGCAATACCCAATTTGAGGCAACATTGCAACATTCATCACATCTCAGCAACAATAATCCCAGGAAAAGCCTGCAAAATTCCGAAAGGACTGGTCTTCCCACCACCAGCTAACACTGATCCGTCTTCAAACTCCTCCTACCATCAGACCACAAGCCTGATTTCTCCCTTCACCTCTTCCTTCTGTGCCCTTCCTCTCCTTCTCCCTTCATCCCTCCTGCAGTACATCATCTTGTTTCACCTTCATTCCATAATAAGCAATAAACCATCCTGAATCCATATCCTTATTGCCGTGATCTTTGTTTGTTGGACAAGGAGCACCACTCATGATCTGTACAAATGTTCCAGGTAATGACTGACCTTATTCTTTGGGTGTCTTTAACCAAGTATTTTTATAGCCTAAACTAAACCATACACAGAATGCAGGATATGAACCTTGGTTTTTGATGTTGAGAGGCTAGAAAAGACTTATAGAAGATATATAATTAAAAAATGTAATAAATTAGTGAGTTAATGTGCAAATCATGCCTGGTTTATCAGCTGTGGCCAATATCCACCCAACAAATCAGCAAACTGCTACAACTTCAGCTGGGAATTTACGCAAGAGCAGCACACTAAAAAAATCCCCCTATAATCCCTCAGGTGGTATGAGCTGTGGATGTGCACCAGAGCTGGAAGTATTTGGTGTCACCCAGGGAGAGGTTTGTATTCTGGCTGTGGTCCATTACCCCACCCTTATTAACACCACCGTGAACCTGGACACATTAAACACATATGTTTAGTCTGCTGACCTTGACAAAATGCCAGTCAAAGATGAATTACCCTGCTGGAGTTTTACTGGAAGAAGGAATGCTAATGGAGGCAATGAGGAGGGTGGATTAAAGCCACCATGTGGAGTCATCACTGTAAACAAACCCTGTGTTGTTTAAATCCAAAGTTTCCAACCAAAATGTATTACGTGTATCATTAAGGCTTTGCAGACACTGAATTGTTTTTGTTGGGCTTTTTATTGCTTTTATGATAGAGACAGCTGAAGATAGACAGGAAAGGGGGACAAAGAGAGGGGATGACATGCAGCAAAGGGCTGCAAGTCGGATTCAAACCCTGGGCTGCTGCAGCAAAGGCTCAGCCATGATCAACCATGACATGGGACGCCAGCTCTACCCTCTGAGCTAACCAGGCGCCCTTGACTTGGTTTTAATTGGTTTTGAACCTGCGTTGTTTACATTGACATCTCCTTTTTTATTGATGCCTTTTATTGCAGTGTGACCACCACCAACTGCCTCCACCCTATGCATGTACCTTCTAAAATCCTACCCGTACAGAAATGCTGATGTGGTACTCCTAAACACCCACATAACTGTGTCTCTGTATAAACACATAGCTGAGAGAGCTAAAAAAACAACACTGAAAATTGATTTAAAACGGCAAAAGAAGTGGGGTTAGGGTTATGTTGTGTTTAGGGTTGGGGTTGTGCTGAATTAGGCTACTGGCACATTTTTTGGTCCAATTCAGGCACTGTTAGTAACTATAGAGTACTTGTACAACATGTGATACTAACTGACCTGCTTATCAAAACAGTGCTCGACAGCACCCCTAGTGGTCAAAAACACCACCAGATATATTTAAAGCACGGCTACATAACTTTGAAACTCCCCACAGAAAAAGTTGAATTTCAGTCAGACACTTGGTTGTTCCGTTATATTTAGCAAAAATGGCTCTGGTGTTTGAGGGAACTCATAATGAATCCAACTGTAATGCAGACTCTACTGATAGAGGAGCATAGACCAGGCCACGTCAAAACAATCAACTCTAATAAACTGACTAATAAACTCTAAAATATACTAAAGCCCCTACGAGGAACTTTAATTTTGTGTTGATTCTGGCACCCCATGTGGACAATAGCAGTAGTATTTCTACCACTTAGTTTAATTGATTTCAAGGGGAATCTGACCCGGTGGCATACATTAATAATAACTATAAAGCAATAGACAATCCTTTTGCTTATGCTATTTTTTGTTTATGTAGTATAAAGTAGTAAATTGAGACTGTTTCATAACCAGTTAAAACTCCTTTTGGCAGTTTTAACATAAATCTTAGGAGGAAGCTGCAGCAGCAATTGCTGATGCGCACATGCATGAATATGAATGGATGTTACTAGCCCCACAGCTGTGGATGAGCTATCATTGTGAATTATAAAGCCAATCACTGCCGTTGTGGCAGCAGAATCAAAACAATTTAATTCCTAGTTCAGATAATGCCGAACAGCTGTCAAATGGGAAGAGAATCAAGTTGCTTCAGTTTTTACAGTCAGCCATCTGTGGGTGGCTGTGGGTCAGAGGGTTGTCCACTAATCTGAAGGTTGTTGTGCTCCGTCTGCCACATGTCGAAGTATCCTTGAGCAAGATACTGAACCTCGAATTGCTCCGGATGCCGTGCATCGGTGTGTGAATGTGTATGAAAGGGTGAATGTGGCACGTAGTGTAAAAGCACTTTGAGTGGTCAGAAGACTAGAAAGGTGTTATACAAGTACAGGTCCATTTACCATCTGTATCCACATTCACATTTCAAGATATGTGCTGGGGTGTTTAACTTTAAACCATGAAGTGAGACTTTAAAAAAATAATTTTACAGCAAAAGTTATGTTAAATCACATCCTCCCAATGACTACACATTTTCTTCCAAGAACAACCATGCAAACTACTTCCTGCTTGTTGAGAAAATCCCACAGAGCTGTGACTCACCTGTGGATTGATTTTAATAGTAGCAATGTCTGACTTCTTGTCAATGTCTTTGATGCTGGCTTCGTATACATCACCATTGTGCATTTGGACCTTCAATAAGAACGGAAGAATGAGATTTTAATAGTTTTAGGATTTCAAATGAAAGCTAGTTCAAATCATAGGTTTTGGTTTGATCCATTTCTATGAAGTTAGCTTTAGATCAGGTGCAGTATATACAATACTTTCTAGTGTTAGTGCTTTATGTCTCAAGGCAAACCAAATACAATTCAATTTTAAGACTTAGTAAGAATTAAGTATATTTATTTAGCATATAATTTCAATGAGAAAACTGTGAATATTTAAAGTAGTGAAACATAAATGATCATAAATGAAAGAGTATTTCTGTACCTTGAGGTGCTGCTGACCCGACACTGGCGTGGTGCTGGAGACTACATGGGCGTTGGTAACAATCAGTCCGTTCTCTGACATCACAAACCCAGATCCACTGGATAGAGGGATGTTCCGACCAAAGAGAGGATGCCTGGGGCATGAATGAAAACATCAGTTAATTTAGCTGGATTACAGAGAGTAGCTGTGACTGCTGATTTATTTTGTTCCATTATCTCAAGTTTGAGGGCTGAGAATGATTTTCAAGGTTATATTTATAGTAATCATGATTAGATCTTGCACTAATGTGAATAATTAAAGTCTAGCCAATTAAGCGTCACACATGATTTAGCAGCAGTTAAAAGACCCTGGTAAACACATTAGCCTTTTACTGAGGATGGCAAATTTAGTGTGTACATAGCTCAGTGTGTGAGTCAAGGCAGTACTTTAATAAGCTGTAGTATCCAAGGGTTGGATTAATTCTACCTCTAGAAACCCATTTGTTAAACCTAAAAGCAAAGTTGTTTTTCATGGATTCTAAAACTTGACCTTTAACATGTTCCAAACAAACAAGATAACATAATATGGTGGCCTTGAAGCGCAAGTGCAACCGCAAATAGGAAAACACAACAAGATAATCAGAAAACACAAAAAAAAACACAATGTTTTTCCTGCTTGCTGTTGTGATTTGCACTTTCAGGCCACCGTACGTAACCCTTACAAACAATCACACAAACAAACAGACACAGTCTGTACCTGAGGAAGAGTTCGATGTGGACCACAGCAGGAGCGATTTTCTCCACCACGTCAGCTATGAAGTTGAACTTGTAACGCGGGCTGGCAGCTTGTGAAGGACCTATACTGGCAAGAAGAATAATGTATTTCAGTAAACAGTCAGCACTTTGATTTACAAATCATTAAATTAAGATTGACATAAGCCAGATGAAAGCGTGTTACAGTGATCTAACTGGGAAGTCAATAAAACATGGATGACTTTGTCAGTGTCGTGAATTGTAAGCAGGCTACATAAGGAACTCAGGAAATGTTGAACTGATTTGACAGTATGAATAGGAGCTATATATATATATATATATATATATATATATATACAGATGCATGGTTTTTGCAAGAATCCACTAACCTGTACGAAAACAACCAATCAGTTGTTGATTGTTGAGTCTCATTCCCAGCATTGGCATTTGATGTCCTGGGAATGAGACTCAACAATCAACTATCTTTCTCAGCTCTGATTGGTTGTTTTCATCCAGGCCCGATGAATTTGCAAATACCATTAGGAGCACTAGGAGGAGCCAGAAGAACCAGATTTTTTCACAGATTATCCGTCTCAAGTACTACTGTCAGAATATAGTGAAAGGACACACTCCTGGGAGAAAGTCCTGTGTTTAATTGACCTATCCATTTACCCCAACCACCTCCTTACACTGACTTTGTCGATCTCGACATTACGTCATCTGACGTGGATGGGTTACACTGGAGTTACACGAAAGCCTGTTGAGTCTCAAACAGACGCTAAAGGATGGCACATGTGTGCGCCGGTTTTTGACACCCTGGGACTGAGAATGGGCTGAAACTTCACGTTAGAGAGTTTCAAAAGAAACCATGTAAGTGCAGAATCACTGAACTAGACAGAATGTCATAGTGGCACAAAACAGTCTTATTACTGTTGGCAGAGGCCAAGCTGACATTTTTCAATTGATTTTTCACTCTGAGCTCTCTGATTTAATTCCTGAAATATGCAGTGTCCAATGTAAAATGGGTAAATCTGAGTCAGGACATAGCAAATGAGTCCTGTGAACCCGCCTGACGGCACAAACTTGGCATCACTCATGGAAGAAGTTTAATTTGCCAGGGGTCATGTTGTGACCTCCAGCACTGTTCAACCAGTAATAATAAGTTACAGCCCACAGTCTACAGCTGCACTGTGCGCTGCTGAGCCAAGTCAGCCATTGAGGAAAATGTGGTTTGTTACTTTAGACTAAAAACAGATTCCTGAATGATAGGCAGAATGCAACCAAGAATGAATCTAGAGTAATGGACATTTTAAAAAAATTGAGTATTGACAAGTTTTACTCTGATGAATTACATCACATGGCCAAGTGACACTGGTCTTTGAATGTGAAAAGACAAAAGGTTTTGCCATTAACTAGGTAGTGTACACTTCAATAAGAAAAAGAGGAGTTGCTGCTGGTAGAAAGCTAAAAGACTCCCTCTGTGTATGAGGATTTTTCTCCAGAGAGACACACTGACCAGATGGAGGGTTTAAAACAGCACATGTGAAAGCTTTCATGACCGGCATGAAGTTTAAATCACTTACACTGAGGAAAACTGAGATGTATGGTATTTGATCAAATTTAGTTTTAAAACTGCAGTAGGTAATTATAAATAAAAAAACTTTTTGTCATATTTGCTGTAACTTTCACTATATCCTGACAGTAGAACATGTGACAGATAATTGGGGAACAAATCAGGTTCCTCTGACTCCTCCTAGTGCTCCTTACGGCATTTGTGAGAATCCACCAGGCCCATACGAAAACCAATCAGAGCCAAGACAGATAGCTCACTGTTGATTCTCAAACAGAGGCTAAAGGGTGTCTCATGTGTGCGCCGGTTATTGACACCCTCGGACTGAGAACAGGCTGAAACTTCACATCCTAGTGTACGCCACGAACCCAAAGCGTCTTTCTATCTTTCTCAGCTCAGTTTATCTGTCTCATGTACTACTGTCAGGATATAGTGAAATTTATTTTTTGTAATTTAGGGCATTTTCTAAATGGATGATTTGGTAAATGGACCTGTACTTGTATAGCGCCTTTCTAGTCTTCCGACCACTTAAAGCGCTTTTACACTACGTGCCACATTCACCCTTTCACACAGCGATGGCAAAGTCCATCGAACAGAAACTAACTCATTCATACACATTCACACACCGATGCACAGCACAGCATCGGGAGCAATTTGGGGTTCTGTATCTTGTTTAAGGATACTTTGACATGTGGCGGGAGGAGCCAGGGATCGAACCAACAACCTTCCAATTAGGGGACGACCCGCTCTGCCTCTGAGCCACAGCCGATTTGGGAGTTGGGAATTGCAGGTCAGTCAGCCATTTATTTTTAGTTTACCACGCCCGAAAGGATGTAATGCTCCAGTGACTGAGTGTGTGTGTGTGTGTGTGTGTGTGTGTATGTGTGCCAGCCACATACCCTTTAAACCCTGACAAAATAAATGGTTTGTGATCAAAGACAAATGTAAAAAGAGTCTGCCACAACTCTGGGCTGCAGTTACTTCCTGTTTCCTCCGTTGATATCTCTCATTCGGATATGTGTCTGTGTGTGTTTGAGATGATTGTTACCTCCTGTGTTGGGAACAGCACTAAGCTGGTTTAATTCATACTTAATAGATCGTTCGCAGTTTGTACATGTTAACGATGAATCTTCAATAAATATTACAGTTAGTCATGGAGTTCCACAAGGTTCTGTACTTGGACCAATACTACTTACTTTATATATGCTCCCTTTAGGCAACATTATTAGGAATCGCTCCATTAACTTTCATTGCTATGCAGATGATACGCAGTTATATCTATCGATTAAGCTCGATGAAATGAATCAATTATCTAAATTACAAACATGTCTTAAGGACATAAAATCCTGGATGAGCTGCAATTTTCTGATGTTAAACTCAGAAAAAAACGAAATTCTTATACTTGGCCCCAAAAACCTTAGAGACTCACTGTCTAAAGATATAGCTACTCTAGATGGCATTATCTTGGCCTCGAGCACCACTGTCAGGAATCTTGGAGTTATCTTTGATCAGGACATGTCATTTAATTCCCACATAAAGCAAACCTCCAGGACTGCCATCTTTCATTTACGTAATATTACAAAAATTAGACACATCCTATCACAGACAGATGCAGAAAAACTAATCCATGCATTTGTTACTTCTAGGCTGGATTACTGCAACTCTTTATTATCAGGTTGCCCCAATAAGTCCATTAAGACGCTCCAATTAATTCAGAACCCTGCAGCACGAGTACTGACAGGAACTAGGAAAAGAGATCACATCTCTCCTGTACTAGCTTCTCTGCACTGGCTCCCTGTAAAATTTAGAATAGAATTTAAAACCCTCCTCCTCACCTACAAAGCTCTTCATGGTCAGGCCCCTTCATATCTTAAAGAGCTCATAGTACCCTATTACCCCACTAGAACACGGCATTCTCTGAATGCTGGGCTACTTGTGGTTCCTTTTGTGGTTTCATGTCCCATTAATGCATGTTACTAACTTTACTTCTATTAGTATTATTATTATTATTAATATAATTATTACTACAGTTACCATTATTACAATTGTCACTACTCATTGTCCCCCATCGTTGCTGTTGTCGTTGTCATTGTCTTCTTCATGTTCATCATCATCAGTCACTACTATTGGTGTAGTTGTTGCTACTGTTGTTGCTGTGCACCTGTCTGTCTGTCTGTCTCTGTTTCTGTCTGTCTCTCTCTCTCTCTCTTTCTCACCCCAACTGGTCGAGGCAGACGAACACCCACCTAGAGCTGAAGGGTCTGTCCTAGGTTTGTGCCTCTTAACAGGCAGTTTTTCCTTGCCCCCGTCGCCAAGTACTTGCTCATGATGGTACTGTTGGGTCTCTGTAAATGTTATAACGAGTTCGGTCTAGACCTGCTCCATTTAAAAAAGTGTCCTGAGATAACTTCTGTTATGAATTGGCGCTATACAAATAAAATTGAATTGAATTGAATTGAATTGATCAGATTGGCATCACATTTACTGTGGGTATTCTAGGTCCTTAAAGGATGGTTCCAAATAGTTTTGTGACCCCTGACTACTCCTTTAGCATCAGCATCAGGGTAAATCTTCCACAAAAAATATATATATAAATCTAATGGGATTCATGCTCCCCAACAAAATCTACCAGGCCCGGACGAAAACAACCAATCAAGGTAGTTGATCGCTGAGTCTCATTGCCAGCATCGATATTTGACGACCTGGTAATGAGACTCAGCAATCAACTATCTTCAAGCCCCCAACCCACAGCGTCTTTGCATCTTTCTCGACTGTGATTGGTTGTTTTCATTCAGGCCCGGTGGATTCCTGCAAATGCCATTAGGAGCACTAAGAGGAGCCAGAGGAACCTGATTTTTTCACAGATTATCTGTCTCATGTACTACTGTCAGGATATAGTGAAAGTTTCAGTGACTGTGATAAAAAGTTATTTTTATAAAAATGACCTACTGCAGCTTTAAAAAGTCATCTAATCCTACGACCTCATAAAAAAGTCCAGAATCTATGAATATGAAAATGTTTTCATTTCTAAGGTTTTCCTACTGGAAACAAGAAGTCTCCTCACATGGATCATGAGCCTCATATTCCACACACTTAACCACAATTAACCATCAATGGTCATAGCAAAACCCTCATAAATATGAATATACATATTGCAGAAAAATGCAGATGTGACACAAACTACAGAGTGAGAGGCTGATGGCTGCAGACTTTTCAAACATAAGACAATTTCTGACATTAAACAAAGTGGTCTGACATGGAGGTGGATGTCAAGAAGAAGTAGAACATTTAGGAGGATTAATCATAATTCATGCAGAAAACAAATATAGTATTCATAGACATGTTGAACAGCCATGTTTATACAGTAGCACAGAATGGACAAATCAAACACTAGCTCTAGATAGGGCATGTATGACATTAAAACATTTGTATTTCAGTGTATGGAGTCAAACTGGGATTCTCTGGGGAATAATTTTAAATACATGTACACAAAAGGTTGTTTTAGGCAGTGGCAGACCATAGACCATTTATGCT